TCTCAGATTTGTTCATTTCATGATGATATCTTAATTCTCTAATTTTGATGAATATAAAAAGTGATATTTTCGACTTCTTGTTAAAACCGCTAGTCCAATTGCTTTGATATATTATACATATAGGTACTACATGTAGACCTCGCTCAGATTTGTTCATTTTCTAATGATATCTTTAATTTTCTAATTTTGGTGAATATTTTTGTCATTTTTGGTAAAAAGTGATACTTTCGACTTCTTGTTAAAAACCACAAGTCCAATTGCTTTGATATTACATATATAGGTACTACATGTGGATCTTTCTCAGATTTGTTCATTTCATGATGATATCTTTAATTCTCTAATTTAGATGAATATTTTTGGTAAAAAGTGATATTTTCGACTTCTTGTTAAAAACCGCTAGTCCAATTTCTTTGATATATTATACATATAGGTACTACATGTGGACCTCTCTCAGATTTGTTCATTTTCTAATGATATCTTCTGTTCTTTAATTGCCATGTGCATTGCTAGCAGCGAAGCTATCTCAGCCGATAGGCTGCTTGTTTTAGTTTTTCCACTGATTTCTCAAGTACCTCTTATCTGATTTCAATGGAACTTGGTACACAGGTGCCTGGGGCAATGTGAAGATGTGATTAGTTTTTAGTTAAAATCCTAGCATACTAAATTCTTAATTTGCATAATATTTGCCTTATTTTTTTTAATTTTTCCACTGATTTCTCAAGTACCTTTTATCTGATTTCAATAAACCTTGGCACATAGGTATCTGGAGCAATATGTAGACTTGAAGAGTTTTGGGTTTAAAATCTGTGCATACTGTTATTAATTTGCATATTAATTAGCCAATTTTAAGCTTTGCAATGAACTATTAAGAACTATTCGTCACATTTCAATGAAACATATTACATCTGGGGTATTAATACATACGGTACATGTGATTTAGATGAAGTTGAATCGTTGTGTATTGATTACATTAAGCCAACCGATAACAAAATTTGGCCTGCTTCGACGAATTAGGCCAGATTTTGTTATCGGTTGGCTATAACCCCAACAGACCGTATTTTTGTGAAAGATTGGTATTTTTGTCCTGATTTGTAGGAATCTGAAAAACGCGTTTCACAACTTGTTTCTTATTTAGTTTTATGCGTCATTCAAGATGGCGGCCCCCATGTAGTAAATATCGTATTTATTTTATTATCACGTGTGTGCCAGCTGACTGTGGCAGCTTCAATTAGAGCATCTACACGTATGAGAAATTGTGAATGTTTGGTACTCAATTGTTCAAAAAGAATGGGTGCGACTTATATTAGAGATGTGGCTTCTAATACAGATTTTACAGTACTCCCTGACTACAAATAAGGAAGCAAATCATAGATATAATTAAATTTATATCCTTTGCTTTGATAAAATTTATTTGTGAGTATTGAAATCTGAATATTGTACCGGTAAATCACATTGCAGAGCTCTTATAGTCTTCAAACATTTTCTTTAAATATGTAGTAGACTTTCGTGGTGATTTTTTTTTCTTTTATTAAACGGTGACTTATACAGTGTACTTATAGGCAGCCATACGACCTTGTTTTTTTTATTAAATAAAATTTTGATTTCAAGAAAAAATGGCTTTTTAAAAAATTAAAAATAATTTACAAGTAATGGAAATCTTGAGAATGTAAACTTCGGCTAAGCCCCTCTGAGTCGAAACGATAACATTTGTAATTTAGCATAATCCTGCAAATAAACATCTGGTCAAATGACCGGATGCACTCACTTTTTGCTGATAGTTCATTGCATCGCTTTTCTCTACTATATATTAATCTTTAAATTTGTATTGGCGATTCCCTCCAAGGTAAGAATGCCTTTGTAATCATTACGTCTGTCTGTCTGTCTGTCTGTCTGTCTGTCTGTCTGTCTGTCTGTCTGTCTGTCTGTCTTTCTGCCTGCCTGTCTGTCTGTCTGTCTGTCTGTCTGTCTGTCTGTCTGTCTATATGTATGTACATACGGTCTATGATTGTAGAAAATCTATGAATAATTACACCTCATTGTAATAACTTTATTGTCAACCTATCTCCATTGAGATCTGGACTAACATACAATAAAGATTAAAAGATACAGAAAATATAAATTTAAAATACAACAACAATAAATAAAAGTATAACCGAATAAGAAAAAATAACTGTTAAAAAAAGTCTTTGACAAAGTAGTAAATAAATAGTTTACATATAAATGTAAGAATGCATTATATTTTCAGGGCAGCTGGCAATCTCTGTATATTTTCTTTTCTCATAAAAAAGCATTTGTGAATGTATTTTGATATTTTGAGAATCAGTTTTTCATCTTTGTTATTTAGAAGAGTTTCTAATTTCTCTCTATTGGTATTGTTAGGGTGTATTTTTAATTTTTAGCTCCGCTGTCGACTTTGTCGAGCGGAGCTTATCATATGAGTGATTGTCCGTCGTCGTCCGTCGTCGTCGTCGTCGTCGTCCGTCGTCGTCGTCCGTGTCAATGTTTTACTTTTTCGACTTCTTCTTGAAAACTACAAGCCTAAATGCTTTGATACTTGGTGTATATGTACCTTGGGTAGACCTCTCTTAGTTTGTTTATTTCATGTTGATATCTTTAATTCTCTAATTTTGGTGAATATTTTTGTCATTTTTGGTAAAA